CAAGAATGTGAAAACACGGGTCTTTTGTTTTGTTTTGTTTTTGTTTTAAATCATACAGCGTACACGCGGACGTTAGTCCACGTGCCTCCTATCTTGCGAATCGGAGTGAGGCCAAAGGCCTATGACGGACATAAGGTGGTGATGAGGTTATGTATGCGATTTCCGGCCCTACCACCATGATAAAATATCCCATCCACCACTCACGGCCTGTGTTGACCACACAAAGCTGCCGTATGTTTTTTTCAGGCTCTCGCTCTTTGCCTACTAAACCAGATTTGGACGTCACACCACCTGTTGCTGTCGCAACGAGTTCAGCATTTTTTTGCAGAACCTGCCTACTAGAGGGATCCGGAAGGTTTTGAGGTTGGCGCTGCCGGCACCGGGTCGATGGGAAGAGGTGATTTGTGGAGAGCAAGCTGTGCGCGACCCGGAGCAGCACATATTTAGAATTCGGGATGCGAACCTCAGAATCAAAGTAGCTGGATTTCTGCTTGACGGACGTCAGTGACGCCTACAAATCACATCTTCTTATCCACTAGTTGCCGGCAGCACCAGCCTCCAACGACGCACAGACCCCAAGGTTCTTCTTATGTACTGGGCTCAGGGTTAGGGTTATATTTCTACCCGAAAGCGCCCCGCTCGATACCCCCCCCATTATCTCAACAACGGCGCGACCGATCTGATTCAAATCGACATAGTAGGAAGAACACGCGAAAACCCTGTTCTGGTGTCCAAAACTCAGCCGTTGTCTGTGTCATGAACACTGGCCTGTTTGGCTCCGCCGCGACCCCTCGCTTTTGCCAACTTCCGACCCACAACCACAAGGTATACTCACCGCTACCCATTAAAGCAATTCTTCCCATGATACTTTAACACTAGCCGAAATTTGTGGTGGAAATCAGCGCACTGGCGGTCCATAAGGTTTTGGGAAAGCTCAGCTTGTTAAACTCAACCCACATCTCGTCACTGTACTCGACGGATTTTTAAGTATCCGGACACTCGGAAACCTTGTCTGACCACTCCAACTATGCAAAGAAAAATCGATTTCTTCACTCTCTTTCGCCCAAAAAATCTGTTCTTGAGTTCAAATTTAGGCCGAGAGCTCCCTCGAGCCTTTGGGCACAAGGAAGTGGAGATTTTGCTTTTTCCTTACGATATTATCCTCGGTGGAACTTTTTTGGTGGGGAGCGCGTGGGTTAGGATTTCTGTCCAGGGTGTCCGGATACTTAAAAATCCGTCGAGTAGACGATCGCGTCAGCCTCGCTGAGGGTTTAACGCGGGATTTGCGGCGATAAATCTGGTGATGCTCATGCAACACCCGTTCGATGGTGGACCGTGCATGGTGAATAAACAACGCCTTCGCCAGCTCTACAAACGTCATATCCCAATGTAGTTTGTCCAGCAAAGCGAGCTTCCCCAGGGCCTCCGATTCCGGACCCCCTTTAGGCATACACTCTGGCCGCCCAAGTCTCGGCGCATCGTGTAACTCGTTCTAGCTCTTCCTATTGCGCGCCGTACCAAGGACCTTGCCGCTTCATTACTACTTACAGGGCATTAGAGAGTTTGCGATTTGCATCCAGACGCAAATTTAAGCTGGCCAAGACTTCGGGTCACCGCCTGATTTTTGCGTCTAGAAGCAAATCGCAAACTCTCTATTGTCTATCTCCAGCCACGTCTGGTGCTCCACGTTATCCTGAAGATTGGGACGTTTAGAACCGCCATTCCCAAACCACCAACAGGTCAACACTGCCGGTCGCTTTACCAGAGGGATCCAGGTCCGCGCATCACTGTAAAAAGTTGGGGGTACGCCACCTCGACTGACGCCCGACGTTAAAAATATAACCCTAACCCTGAAATGCACGTGATGTTCAATGATTCCGGCCGCTCGAGTAGTCGATTGGATATACAGCACGTAGAGATGATCTATTCGGCCGCTATTGAGCAACGGGAAGTTACCCAGTACATACACAAGTACTTTGTGCTCGGGCAGGCATTGAGCACCAAAAGTCCGGGTGGGCGAGATCTCTCGATTTGGCGATTCGAACCTCAATTGAGCTCAAAGCTTTCTCCCTCGCCACTTGCTGCGATTGCATTTTTTAGTCCGGAGTGCTCGCAAGTGGGGGGATCTGTCGGATACGTGCGCATCCGTTCAAGCAGAGACAAGAAGGAGAGTTTCGTCACGTCATGTTGTGCAGTTCAGCTGGGCCTGCCAGTCGTGTTCTTTGAAAAAAAAAATTTGTCCTGCAAGCACGGGGCTATGCATGTCTCAGACAATCCGAGCTGTCGCGAGGCTGCCACGACCCGCGCACAAAAGCATCGATACAGACCTGAACAAAACCTTCCACGGACAGCAACAATCTCCTCCTTCGAAACGAACCACCGAATTCGCACGCAATCTGGTCGAGAATGATCACCTTAATTGCCGTGTATTTTGTCGCTAGTCTAGGGTCCGGCGCTCATGGCGCTCCCATGCAGCTCTGGCAACCTCCATTCGAAAACATTACCGCACTACAACATGAGATAGCGCCTCGATGGGTTCCTGGATCCCGCGCTCGGGGCACTTTCGAGATCCTCTACAGCTGCACATTTACACTTGCTCTTTGCGTGTACACGGCCATTCATCTCAATGTTCCGCCTCCGGAGCCCCATTTCACCTTTTTACGAAGGAAAACCAAATGGGCTTTAATTGCGCTTCTTGCCCCTGAATTAGTCCTATATACCGCTTGGGACCAATGGAATCAGGCTAGAGGATACAGGGCGCAGCTGAATGGACTGGGGGAAGCGCTGCGTGACGTGCTGGTTCTTCCAGCTTTTCCAGCCCAACCTCACTTTGCCACGGTATATTACTCCTACTCAGGTCAATGTTAGGCATACTCACATACCCAGAGAACCAATCCCCGAGTGGGTGCGAAGCTCAAATTCCGGAAGCTCACCATGCAAGATGGATTCTACGCAGCAATGGGAGGATATGTCGTCAACCTCCCAGATGGAAAAGGCAAATGGAGAAAAAGCACTCTCACCGTGGATGGGGCAATTAAGCTAGGCAAGCTAAACCCGTCCACTATTGCCTACCACCAAACAATCGAGGACAAGAGCAACGCCGATATACTTGCCAAGATCCTTGTTTGCTTTCAGGTGTCGTTCCTGGTCATTCAGGTGCATTACACTCCTATTTAGTATTTACTACAAGAATGGCACTAACCCTGATACTTTTTCCTTCAGTCGATCTGCAGGAAGGCGAGCGGATATCCTTTGACGCTTCTCGAGGTGCACACCCTGGTACATGTAGTTTGTGCACTATTGATGTACCTGCTGTGGTTCTACAAGCCGCTCGATATTCACGACCCCGTCGTAGTTGAAGCTACGGAAGATGTCGTATCACTTTTCAAAGATGAAATTCCCGATAAATCTCGATATTTGTGCTCACGAGCACGAAATATCAGAACCTTCAAAGGCAGTACCTCTGGCAGCTTTCAGGCTGGTTTTGTGCTGCTGGTTTTGTGTGCAAGCTACAGTGGGATCCATCTCTCTACCTGGAACTTCTTCTTTCCGACTGACGTGGAAAAGTATATCTGGAAAGGCACGGTGTGCGCCTCTCCTGCGGCCCGTTCTACGCTGACACTGTGCGAGTAGTTTCATGCATAATAGCTACCTGTGGATCCGTTGCAGCGCCAGGGTGGCTTTGGTTTTCGGCCCCTAACAGTTCGGACTTTCACGAAGTTTTCAATAGTGTATTACAGGCATTGGGGGAGGACAGTAGAGATTCTAGACTTTATCACGAGTTTTTGGGTTTGATCCGAACATTACCAGGCACAACTAACGGTGGCAGCTGGACACAAGGGCCACCCATTGCTTTAAAGGCCTTCTTAGGCTTCATCTTACTGGTCATAAGGCTCCTCTCGCTTCTTCTATTGGGCTTGGGAGTACTCATGACGCCGCTTTTCCTCTTGGCTAGGGCCGCCTTGGTCGTCGAGGCTTTCGCCAGCATAAGATCGGTTCCGGCCGGTGTTTATGCCAACGTCGATTGGGCTCAATACATACCACATATATGATGGCTGGTTTTATTTTCTGCCATATACTTTTTTACTTAGTTATCTAGGGATTGAGGAGTCAGCGGTCTTTTTTTTTTTTAAGTTGACCTTTCATAGGAGTATTAATTTATGCCGATCGAAAGAAAATTGCCCTGTTTTGACTTGCGGGCACGTGCGCACGCGTTAGGTATCCACTGTGGACTACAAATCTCGAATTTCTCATCCTGAACCCAGACTCAGCACTTTCATGAGATCCGAAAAACGAGAAGTGCATCTTTAGAACCAGAGAGGTGCTACTGACAGGGCGATTCTTGAGAACACCAAACATGAAGGGACGTTGGCCTTGGGCTAGGCAGTGCTATTGCTTCGCTGCTTTCGCCCCAGATTACCGATAAACCGGCCCTAGCTCCCGCCGGCGGACAGGAAGAACACGACTTCACGCTCAAAGGCTTGACTTCTAACAGGTGGAATGCCGCCCTGAAGTCATGACTACACTCTCACCCAGGCGTCCTTCATAAGCGTTGTATTATCAGGCTTTTACCATGTATATCGGGCATTCGTAGTCGGTACGCGTGGTAGAATAGCGATGGAGTTAATTTGATTTGATTAATTCACATTGCATCCAGCCTGACACGGCGATGGCATATATACATCCCGGTCGCGACCGCCCCTAGCCCCAAAGGAAACAAAAGAACAGAAGAACAAAACCGTCATAATCCCGCTCCCACACTCTAAAGACTAGCACAAGAGCTAATAAGACACGATCTCTTCCGACGCCGTACTACTTATCTCTAGCCATGCCCCCACTTTCCTTCTCTGGGGCCGGTACCTCACTTCAGCTTTAAGCCTCCGTGTGGTCTAGACCCAGAAGCGCCTGTAACAAAGCGGACAGTGTCGGATCTATCGAGTCATATTTCATGACCCGAGTCATCATGCATGACCCGCATTAGAACCGGCAAAAAGCAAGTGAGCAACGAACTTGGATTTGAACCAAGGCCATCCGATGGAGGTCAGGATATCATAACCGCTAGACTATTCGTGCTGGAGTTGAAGGAGTGGGACTTCGGTCCTTCTCCCAAGTCAAGCACACCATCAATCTGTATATGGTGCATGCAGTCTACAATGGGGGTGAAGAAAGCGACCGCGATAACTCGGCGTTCAGCGACCGGACAGACAAAAGAACTCTGTCAGGCCGGAGATCTAGAGGAGCACTGTCATGTAACAGATTTATTTTACCTTGCGGATACAAAAACAAGAAGTTATCACGAACGACGTTCGAGCACTTTGTATGGTGAAAACTGTCCTGTGCACTACAGGGGACGAAGCAAGTCTGTTCATATAAAAAATTCTATGAGTAAAGCAGTCTCCTACTCTTTCTGTTTCTCTTTTTTCCCCTATCTGAACAATCCTGGGCTCTAGAGTGGAGCTGATGTCCAAAAACAGTCCCGCGATAGTTCTGAACGGTTGAAAGTTGGTTTTTGGGTTTTGGTTTAATGATATTGCATTCTACCGCATGCGATCATGGCATATATAGAAGAGAAACTGTGCTACCCCTTAGGAATAAGCCCTATGGGAACAAGCCTAGTGCTGGGGCCTGCGGCTCTCTTAAGAAGAGAAAACAAGGAAATCGCGATACATAACAGACGGAAAAGACTGTGGCCAACGCCTGTTGCTCCTACTCCTACTACCTTCCCCTTCCCCTTCTCCCCCCGGGGTTTGCGCGTCGTGCGTGGCTTGGTGTTGCCCGTTCCTCCTCCTATGTAGAAGTTGAAGCACACGGCTCCGTCACCGGCCACTTGGGCCCAGGGCGGGCGCTCTTCCCGGCTGCCTGTGCCGCTGTACGGCCCGAGGGCCGCCTGCGCTTCGTTCTCTCGACCTTCTTCCATTCCCCTTTGTCCTTAGCCTCACCGTGGGGGGAGGGGGGTCCGGGGCTGGAGCGGCTTACGTGCTAGGCGTCGGTCGCACCGGAACTAGTGCGTTGCTGGGCCCAGCATGCTTTGAACGCATTAGGGAGGGGAGGAGAGATTTCCCGTGCGTGCTTTGTCGGCTTTTGAGCCGGGCTGGACGGCTCGGAGCGTTTGCATTTCGATTTGTCAACCGCGGGTGGAGCTACCGGCGTTTGTGTTGCCGTTGTTGCTGGCAGCCGGGTTGAAATTTGGTGGATCAGCCGTTGTCCGGTTGAAAATGTGTCACTGCTAGTCTTGAAAACCCGCTGTCAATGCACCTGGCCGTTTGTCCAGGAAATTTGTTCCCATCCACCTAGCGGCTAACATTCTTGTCGGTGAATGCAGGGTGGCCTTCTCCTCCCGGAACAGCTCCACAACTGACCGCCACCGCCACCCACGGTGCTTCCACCCAAGCTGTGTTCCCACAGAGCGCCAAAGCACGCAAATCTGTGGAAGCGCTCGTTCGCATTTTAAAAAGGCGCTCTCTAGTCTGCGCTTTCCTAAGAAACAAAACCAACATTCGTCGGAGTCTCTCTTTTGTTTGTTTTAATCATATTGCATTTGGCCGCTTGCGGCCATGGCATGTAAGGTACAGAATCATCGCCGCCCCTAGGGACTGGTCCTACTCTGGGGTTCGCTCCTCCGAAGGAAAAGAAAGCAAGGAAATCGTAACTGGAGAAGTCATACAAAGGGAATTCGTAACATGGAAATGAGACACAGAAGAAGAGACAGGTCTGAAATCAGTTGGCCACACTCGGCCACATTCCAACGCTTGTGCTGCCCAAAAATGGAGTCTCTCTTGTGAAGCTTCTCCTTGAGGTAGGGTGCTGTGATCGCATGCGGCGTGCCCGGTGAGTTGGTAGTACCGGGATGCCAGCGCCTTTCTCTCTTTATTGAGAGCCCACCGGAAGCTATTCTTCTTTCGCGGTGCGTAGGATGTGCGAAGGCTTGTGCTTTGAGGGATCCGAGCTTCTGAGGCCTTGCGCTTGAGGGTTTTGGCCTCGCTACTCTCCTCCCGTTTGATATTGGACATCGCAACCGAAAGCTACCCCTTCAACCCAAGCACGAATGGCCTAGCAGTTATGGTACTGGCTCAACTCCAGGTTTTTTACCCTCGGATTATCTTTTTTGCGTTTTGCACGTCCCTCCGGTTCGCCGAGGGGCGACGGCGGATCACGAAATATGACTCGTGCAACCTCAGATCGTCACATCTCAGCCTTCTGTAGCGGGCTTTGAGGACGTTATAAAAAGTTGTGGTGGCATAGATTCTGTAAGATACGGCCCCAAAATGCGAACGGACAGGAGTAGAGTGACCTGAATCACAGTAGGAACTTGAGGCACGCGATACCGTCACCGCTATCACATATCCTGCCGTTTCTGCGGGATACAAAGGTTGGGCAATCCGTGGCGGAGGAGCATGATTCGCCATCGCCGTCTGAAGAGGATTCAGGGGAAGAGGAGTGACTCGGCCCTGGCGGCCATGGCTTTCGCACTTCGATTTCCTGCAATGGAACACTCTCTCCAACTTCCTTAGGATGGCCATGCGAGTATGGGCCGATAATCATAATTTAAACTCATTACTAACCATACTATACGCTGCATTTATATTTCTGAAGCAATACCGAGCTAAAGTTCCAAACTGCAGTGGAAACGCCGTGATCGAGTGATGCCCTATGATTTTTCTTCTTTTCTTTTTATCAGGTTTTTTCGACGTCCGGTCGGTGGCAAGAGCTCCAACAGGCGCGCGAGAGCCACTCTGGCACCACCTCCGACTCCAAGATCCATTAGCTGCTCCTCGATGTCTAGTAACTCCTTCTCTTCAACCTAATCCCAACTGCGTGGTTCCCTGAAGGACCGCTCCAAGATGCGCCCATTGGTGTGTATGTAGGATGGCCTATCAGCGCGCTCTGCTGTGAGACGCTTCCTCTTTTTGTCGCGGATGAGATTCCTAGTAGAAAAAGACCGCTCTGAAGGCACAGAGGGTGTGCGGAAACGGAGAGTAGCAAGTCCAGCCAGCTCTGTGACAAAGGGCGCCATTTCATCACTGAAACCCAGCGCACTAGCAGTATGTTCACTGGCAGAAACCGGGGCTTTATGGCCGGTGTCTACTATCTCAGTTTCAAGAGTCACGACTCTTTTTTCCCAGGCAGCGTACCCTCTTTCTCTCTTTTTTTCCAACGAGACATACATACTGAAGTAGTTTTCTACCTTGCTCAAGCCCAGTAATAAAGAGTGAAACTTTATCATATCTTGGGTTTCCTAACCGACAAGAACGCAATCGAACCGTAATAATCGGCCCCTACATGCGAGAGCTAGACTAGGTGTCAGTCTCTACTGGGTGGGCCTAAAATTTCCCTTCCGTTGAGATGGGAACCGGTACTGGAGGGCCGATTATGAAAGCAGTGGCGCGGTAATACCGTATCGATTCGCAATTCGAGTTTTGTAGCAGTGATAAAATCAAAAAGGCGGTAGTTACTGTAGGCTACAACTGGAGCACCGTGGCCATACTTCCCTCAAGCTCGCTCTCGCACATAAAGCTTTTGATAACTTGGCGACACACCCATCAGGCCGGCCCGCGTTGTTTAAGATAGAGTCGATACGGCAGGCTGCCAAGTTCAGTCACCCATGATACCCGATCGCCTCACTGCATATCTCTATCTAATCTCCGAAAGCAGGGTTACCACTACGGGTAACGGGTTATAGCCGAACTATCCCCTTGGCCATTTAATCAGCTTGGTACTTGAAGCCATGTGCCGGCGGGTCTACTTTCTGTTTAGAGCAACTGGCGATATTAGCATCAACTCTCCGTGGGCGACAAAAAAAACAAACGCTTTTTGGCCATGCTGGAACTCCGTGTGTGATTAATTGTTAATATCGTTGTTATCTTTTCGGAACGAGACCGATGTGAGGGCACGTGGGGCGCAAGTGGATCATTCTTAACTCGCATTGCATGACGACAGACGGATTAAACATGGGTGATTGGACAGTGCGTATCCGCTTTGGCTTCCATCCACTAGTGGGGGCTGGGCACGAGCTCGCAACAGGAACGCTGGTTGGAGGTGAGAACAAGCCTTTCGCATCGCGGCTGACGCGTTCGGCCCCAAACAGATTGGGAAACTGTGCAGATGAGCGAATGGTCGGAAACACTCCCGCGTTTTGGCCTTACCGCTCACGGCTAGTTCCAGGTACATATCAACAAAGCTTGTCGGGGGCAAGATCCGCGCCCACGTGGGGTAAACAAACCCTTCTCCCAAATAATGGGGTAGAGTTGATCCACTCAAACTTCCTACGATCGACATACGGCTCGCCGGCATATCTCCTAATCACCCACGCTCTCTGGGGAATCAAACCGACTGGCCCTCCTTCAGGCTCATAGGTTCTGATGCACGCTCATTGGATAGGCCGTCATGCAGGCTGTAGAACATCGTATCACCGATATCCCATCGCATCCTGGACAATGTGTCGTGATTTGTGCTATAAAGCCGCTGTTTCCCTTTCTCGAAATGAAGCAGCTCGCCCTCGATAGTCAGCCATTCGTTTAACGGGATCCAGTTGCCAATCCTTTGCCATGCACGCCTCAATCCGTACTCTCGCTCTCGCTGTTCTCAGCCTTGGCTTCGCCGAGCAGACTCTTGCTGAGGCCACCACCTACAAGCACGTCGCAGTTTTCAGCATTGACGGATTCCATGGCAGCGATGTAGCGAAGTACATCGCCGTGCGCCCCAAGTCTACTATCGCCACGTTGCTCGAGACTGGATACGAGTATACCGACGCCTTTACCTCGGCGCCTTCCGACTCGTTCCCTGGCACCCAGGCTCAGTTCACGGGAGCTGGACCCAGGACCACTGGTGTTTGGTACGACGACACTTACGACCGCACCTTCTTTGCGCCTGGAAGCGACTGCTCTGGCAAGCCTGGCGCGGAAGGTATTGTTTTCCATCTTTCCTAGCGGTGGGTGGGTCGCTGACAGACATTGCGTACAGTTGTCTACGATGAGACCATCGATTACAACTCCACCGAGGTCTTCTCCGGAGGGATCAACCCTAAGAACCTCCCCAGGGCCATCATCAACGGTGTCTGCACTCCCGTCTTTCCT